GTTTCATAATAACACTTCGCTTAAAATCCTGAGCTGTGAACCTCAGAGTTTGTTTAGGCTAGTTTACCTCCTGAACAGGAAGAACCTTCCAATATTTTATGTAGCCCGTTCTCCTGGATTTTCCTTGTTTATTACATTTCTTTCAGCTATTTTGTATTTTTTCCTCTTGATACACTCATGAATTGTAATGCTTTTTAATTGTAGTTAACATCTGAATATGTTTAATCATAGAAGCATAGTTCATACATCATAAAATTAATGAAACAGAGCATGAGGAAATACTATCCTGTTTGTCAGAAATGAGAAACCATGTATCTGCTTTGCACATGGTAACTTTTCTGAGCCCAAATACGAGAGGACAGAAAGGCCCGTTTGTGTCTTACACTATTGTGGTCCCTGTTCTGCTGGCACGCGCATTGTGACTTTTCCATCTTTTGTTATTTAGAGATGAAATTTTCACTACCTCTGAAATAAGGTGTATTACGCAAAATCTGTTTTCCGCCACCCTGTAATTTAATAGATTTGAGGTATCTGTCTGGGTACGTCGAAGGGGTACAGTCTTCAAATCCATTTGCACGGAACGTAAAAAGAAACCTACAGCAACGTGCACAAAACTAAGGAAGCCCCTTGGCATCTGAAAAGGCCAAGGAAGCTTGACATTCATTGGTATTTATGCCGTATTGAACAGGTAACATTACTACAGCATGGGAAAAAGAGGGGCAGGGGAAAACGCAGCTGGTAAGCAGACTCACTAGCCCAAAGGTAGGATACGGCTCCCCCCAGCCGTTATATCCATGATGCTTCCATCTGGCATTGCTTTATTTCTGAAAGCATCTTTTCAAAAGTGGATTACAAAATAATGGTTAGTTGATGCACAGCACTGCATCATACCCAGCGCTCCTCTGGCTTCTGCACTTTGCGGGGAATAAACGTACTCTTCTCCAGCAGCCTTCTCTGGCTGCTGGAAGAGACTGACGCTTGTACTTACCTGACCGGGGTCATTCTTGTATACCCACTTTAACCCAGAAGAACAGCTCCTCCGTGCAGGTTGCTGAGGACCATGTACTTGCTCCATACACTTCATCATGAGCCGTTTCCAGTTGTAAAGATCTGGACATTAGTGAAAGCATTCAGTAGCTTGCAAAAAGGCCTCTTTGTTTAACGCAGGTTTTTCTGTTGTTCTATGTTGGCAAGCAGAATATAATACCTGGTTAAAAGCTTGTTTATTTTTCAAATGAAGGCTGTCAAGAAAAGTCTAGTGTTTTCACCTATCAACCATTACATCCTGGATTTATTTTTGCTTTAATTTCATCATTATTTTTTGATCAAGAAGCCTTTCTGTTCACGTTGGAGTAGAGCTCTGCATCAGGTACCTGTAAACGTGGTATTACTGCCAAATGAGTCATAGAACATAGCAGTAGCTGTTTCATATTGTTCCTGTGCCAAGTTAATGTTTTCAAATATAAATGATTTTAGTTACTTTTTCATATGGATCTTTTTTCTCTCTGAAATGCAGTGCAGAATATATAGTGTTAAAACTGTCAGAAAAATGTGTTGACTAACAGTGGTGCCTTTTAGCAGAGGGTGAACAATATAGTGTTAGAAGCCTCAGGGGATAATGTTTGAAATCGTTGAGGGGCATTCTTAAGGCAAAGATTGCTTGTCTGAGATATTCCTTACTAGAGGTTTCACTGTCTTGCTTAAATTATGTATGTATTGAATAAAGTACCTTACCCTAAAGTAAAAGAAGCTATAAAAAATAACGTGTGGACTTTAAGTATTTACATTCATACAATGTAGGAAGGGAAATAGGGCAGAATATGAGCACAGGGATACTCTGTCGGATCTCAGATGTGATCATCTTGTCCTAGGAAAACCGAATGTTACATCTTTAAATCAATTTTAGGTAAATAATATTTCAGTAGGAAAGTTCTATGTGGATGTAACCAGAATATTTTGTTTACACTGGTTTGTATTTTTCCATCAGTCAAATAAATCATTTGAGATACAGAACTGAGACAGTATACTAAAAAAGAATGTTTTGAAGAAGAATGTGATGGGAGGATGTCCTCAGTGAAGTCTTTGACTTTCTGGTTTTGTGATTTACCTTTGGAATGATGAGTGTGATTTTGCTGAGTCTGACAAAAACAGACGTTGCCTTAAACTTCTAAGGGAGACTCTTCTGTCTTTCATCACCGCCTTTTTCCAGGTCAGTACACCGAGTGTGCCTTGGTACGTGTCAAACTACCAGGTTTTAAATACTTTAATTTAAACAATAACCTAGATTGTGAAAATTACCTGTTCTCTCGAGCAGATCTGTTCGTCGTGGCATTCCGTTCACTTTTGAGCACACCGGTTTAGGCAGAGACAAAGGAGGCCGGCTTTTGCACTCACTAAGTTGTGAAATTTAGCAAGATGAACCTTAAAGCAATATCTGCATACCTACAGCCTTGCCGATGATCCACTATTACAGGTCATCACTGAAGGATGAGCTAGAAGTAAACTAAGAGACAAGTCATTTGCTGTATTTGTATATTAAAGGTATTTGCTTTTTTATTTATGTTTTTAGGCAAACAAAGCAAGCTGGAAGTTGTTTGCTGCTTTTTAGGGTATAATCTATTCATGTGTAAACATCTCTTCCCCATGATTTGCTCCTACGCTCAGGCATCCATTGCTTGAGACAGCTGAACAAAAGAACTGTCTCTTCCACTTTTTTCATGCTGCTTAGATCATCCGCTGAAGCCATATCTTCCTCTAAAATGTGCCTCAATCATATAATGCAAAATCACAATCATTACCATTTGAGATGCTTTTTAATGATGTTTCCAATGTCACCCACCAGTCAGGATTCATAATAACTTTAATGAGTCTGAAACGCCACAGTATTTTGAGTGACAAATACAGATTCTCACCTTTTTTCTGATTCACAAAAGTCGTTTTTATCATACAAGCAGTCACCCAGCTCAGGATTATCTCTGAGACATTCCACTTCTATTTCAGATGACAGCCCTGTCCTTTCTGCTCGTCTCAAAAGAATGTAAAGAGTGGAAAAGGACTTTCCTGAGTTCTTTTTCAAACCATCTTGGAGCAAGGTTTCACGTGACACCATCAGCCAGTCTGACCCACTTTGAAATTCTTACAGTCTGACTGGAAAGCCCTCTGGACTTCAAACGCTTTTTTTCTGTCTCAGGTCAGCCTTTGTTTGTTGCTGAGAATACGAGGACATAACCAGCTGCTTCCAACGTGCGACCTGTACATTTTCCATGCTCTTACTCCTGCCTCAGTGTTCACGATACTGATGATGGTGTGCAGCTTCAGAATTAAAAAAATTGAAAATAAAATGTCAAAAATTGAGCTGCATTAAAAAGATGAGAGAGGGAAAATGATTTTCAAAGGGGAAAAGAAAAGGATGTGCTCTCTGGAAATTGCAACAATTTTCAAGGTTGGATTAGAGAAAAGCCTCGCTGAAAGAATTTTTCAGCATTGTTCAGAATAAACAAGAGATGACATCTGATTAGTTCCAGCAGAACTGGAATAACGGCGCTTCTGAAGTGAACGAAAATCTGCATGAACTTGAAGGAAGGAAGTCAAAGAGAAGAACGTTGAAAGAGGAAGAGCTCAGAGGAAGGAAGACAGCTGATCTGATCACTCCAGAGCTGCAGTGCTCGTGCTCCCTTTATTGCCTGCACCCCAAAAGTCCCCGAGCACGCATCCGCCAAGAACTTCTTAGTCTCCCCGCTTTGATCTCCTTTCCACAGCCTCCCTTTACAGTCTTTTGAGGAGGTGTGCTGACAGACTCAAAGCAGAGCACTAGCTATTCATTCTGCCTGTCAAACATTTTACTCAAGGAGTGAAAGAATATTTATTATGCAATGCTACAATAGTGTGCAAAGGGAGTCTGAAAAAACTGCAGCAAGGACTAGTCATCATTCTTAGCGGACTGAATTTGCTGCTGGTGTAAAGAGGAAGGCGTGAAGGCATGACTCAAACAAACGTGTGCTATTTCTCTTCCCGCGCTACAGGGTTGAGGCTGAAAGGCATTTGGCAACAGGGGCCGGTTCTGGGGTCAGACAGTGTCACCTAAATGAAAGCCAGAACACTGGGTAATTCAAACAACTTTTAAACACCTTAGAAGCCCCTCAGCCCGGTTACTAGACTTGGAAAAATGCCGTCCTGCTCCTCCTGCCCTTGCTTACCCCAGAGACCGGATCAGCAGCTTACACCGTGCTGGTATTTAAGGTGGTCTGTGCCTTTCCGCCAGTTCCCTTACCGGTTCTGCCCACATCCATTTTGCACGTTTCTGTATGCCGTCAGTTCTGCCTTCCCCACCAGTGTTGTTCACCCCACTCTCCTCCAC